TTTTTTTTTTATTATGAATACCAATTCTTTGTTTATTAACATAATAAAATCTAAAATTGTAATAAAATTTAAAAAGTTTCACAGAAGACCAGACGAGGCCAGACAGCTGATTAAAAGATGCTAAAATCTGCAGCTCCCTGGAGCCTAGAGTCCCTTTAAAGTTGATTTTGAATGACTTGCCCAGGTAGGGAGTTTTCCAGGAGGAAGTGTATCTTTGTCCAGGGTTAGGTCAAGGGCTAGACTCCCAGGGCTCCAGTGGACCTTGAAGAGAAATTCTTCAGGCAGGGCCCAGACAAAGGAAGTCATCAGATCCTCAGAAGGGGGAGTAGAAGATTTACCATCACACTGGGCTGGTTTTCAGTTACAGCACCTCTCAGGAAGAGTATACCAATAGCCTTTCTCTCCTGATTTGCTTGTCTGTGGTGGGTACCAGCAGCCTGTATGGTTCTGAAGTATCAAGCTGAGATTACATATCAACAAGCTGGTACATCGACAGTGCTAAGTGCCATTTTAAAATCTTTTCCTCTTCTTGTATGTTGCTTTTGGAGAAGGGATGTTCTAGGATGTGCTTCTAGTATGGAAGAAAAATAGCATTTTTAGGCTATATGAGCCTTATGTCATCCAGTTCAATCACCTCATTTTTCAGATCAAGAAACTGAGTCTGAGAGAGAAAGGACTTTCCCAGAGTTACTCAGCTAGTCAGTGACAGACAACAGTGGAACTTGTGGTAAGTTGTGTGGCCTCTTTGGGCTTTTCTTTCCAAATCTATAAAATGAAAATGGTGATATGTCTAGATGATCTCTCTAAGGTTCCTTCTTGTTCTAATATTTTACTTCTGTGATTTTTAAATTTTAGACATCTGTCCATTCTGCAATGACCAAGAGGCTTTTATAAAAATGATGCATTGTTGTGCCTAAATGGCAGTGTTTAAGTATTTTGATAAAGGCTAAAGTTCTAGCTAATATTTTGCATTGTGTTTACTTCAGACTGTGACCTAGATTTAAATTAAACATTTTGAAACTGCACCCTGGTTTTGAACATGGCTGCAAATTTACTCTACTCCATCCATAAACGCCTTCTGAATGAGACTATAAGACATGTTTACTATTATTGCCTGTGTTGTTTTACTCATTGCTGAAAAGTTTAGATCACATGTATGATAAAGCCATAAAAGTCATGTTATACAGAAAGGAAATACCCAAGTAGGTTTTAGTTAGTTAAAAACTCTATTACTTATAAGCATGGATTGGATTTTTTTATATATTTTTTTATTTATTTAAAAAAAAAAANATTACTTATAAGCATGGATTGGATTTTTTTATATATTTTTTTATTTATTTAAAAAAAAAAAAATTGGCAGCCGGCCAGTATGGAGATCTGAATCTTTGACCTTGGTGTTATCAACACCATGCTCTAACCAACTGAGTTAATCGGCCAGCTGTGTACTTCATTTCTTTAGCATGCACATTTTAGACAAACTGACAGCAAATCCATTACGTAATGACTACTACGATATGTCTAGATGATCTCTCTAAGGTTCCTTCTTGTTCTAATATTTTACTTCTGTGATTTTTAAATTTTAGACATCTGTCCATTCTGCAATGACCAAGAGGCTTTTATAAAAATGATGCATTGTTGTGCCTAAATGGCAGTGTTTAAGTATTTTGATAAAGGCTAAAGTTCTAGCTAATATTTTGCATTGTGTTTACTTCAGACTGTGACCTAGATTTAAATTAAACATTTTGAAACTGCACCCTGGTTTTGAACATGGCTGCAAATTTACTCTACTCCATCCATAAACGCCTTCTGAATGAGACTATAAGACATGTTTACTATTATTGCCTGTGTTGTTTTACTCATTGCTGAAAAGTTTAGATCACATGTATGATAAAGCCATAAAAGTCATGTTATACAGAAAGGAAATACCCAAGTAGGTTTTAGTTAGTTAAAAACTCTATTACTTATAAGCATGGATTGGATTTTTTTATATATTTTTTTATTTATTTAAAAAAAAAAAAATTGGCAGCCGGCCAGTATGGAGATCTGAATCTTTGACCTTGGTGTTATCAACACCACGCTCTAACCAACTGAGTTAATCGGCCAGCTGTGTACTTCATTTCTTTAGCATGCACATTTTAGACAAACTGACAGCAAATCCATTACATAATGACTACTATAAAAGCTTTCAAAAAGAGCGTGCACGTTTAGTGCTTCTGTGTGGGATAAGCTGAGTTATGGTCGTTGAAAGGGCAAAAGATTCAAGAGTAAGATAGACCTGGGCTTTTAAGTTCCTGGCTGCATGGATAATGCAATTAGAATTCTCTAATTCTGAGGCTGGAGAGTTGGTTGATTATAAGGGGAAGGCTTCTGTATTTTCCAACCATCGGAAATGCGGGTTCTCAGACATTCATTACATAGGTGACATGTGACAAGTTATGTATGATAATATTTACAGAGCTATTATTAGGATAAATGATCTAATGTACTATATGTGAAATAAAAGTGTACATTCTAAACACTATAGAGATCTTTTGTCTTTTTGTACTGCCTATTAGAATAAAGCAAGAGATGCATAGAAAGCCATGAGGGGTAGAGAAGCAGAGGGTATGGGAAGCAAATACTTTATTTTGCCAATAAAATTATGGCTTAGAGCAAGGAGTCGTCTAGGAATCAAATGAAATATTGCAGCTAGAACATATAATGCCCATGCTTATTAAAATATTACCTATATATGAGTCACTTGGAGAGAGTGTTAAAATGTAAATTCTCATTCAGGATGTAAGGAGTGAGCTCTGAGATTCTGCATTTCTAAAAAGCTCCTAGGTGATGCTGCTGCTGGTGGTCTCAGACACTTTGAGTAGCAAGATAATATGGGTTCAGATTAATAGATGTAACCAAGGGTCAACTAAGTATCTTACCAAGAAAGAAACACATATATGTTGGGGTTTTCAAAGGAGTACCACCCATCCTGGCTAACACCCACATTGCCACACCATAAAGGAGATTTCTACATTTTCTGTTTTTAGTATTACGTGTTAAGAAATCACTCAGCTTCTACTGCTTTGCTGGAGTTTATTGGTAACAGATAGCAATAAAGTAGGGGGTTATATGCAATAGAATTAGGAATAAACGGGATCTAGAGAGATTACCCTTTGCTAAGGCAGTAGAGTTGCTTCTTGTTCCTTTACAAGGAAAGTCTTACCTGATGGAGGTCTTTGAATGCTGCCTTAAGAATTGTGGATATGTGGTTGGTTGTCCCACTCTCTCCTTTCCTGTGGTGCTTTGCATATTGACACTGACTTGGATCACTCACTTTCCTAATATGGGTAAATATAAACTGAAAGAAACCATGTGACATTACCTCCTCTTTTTCAAGTTTTAAATTCAATTCAACAAATGTTTACCAATTGCTAGGTTACAAAGTAGTGGACTAGGCAATGTGTGGGAGATAAGGATCAGGAAGGTAGATTTCAGGTATTTTCAGTTTGTCTTTAGAGGATACAGACATAAAATAAATAACCAAATAAAAGGCTGTCTGAGCTTAAAAGATACTAGATTTGGAAATAACTTACCTAGAGATCTAAGAGAAATTGAAATCAGTTCTGCCAGTTGATTATAAGGGGAAGGCTTCTGTATTTTCCAACCATCGGAAATGCGGGTTCTCAGACATTCATTACATAGGTGACATGTGACAAGTTAAGTATGATAATATTTACAGAGCTATTATTAGGATAAATGATATAATGTACTATATGTGAAATAAAAGTGTACATTCTAAACACTATAGAGATCTTTTGTCTTTTTGTACTGCCTATTAAAACAAAGCAAGAGATGCATAGAAAGCCATGAGGGGTAGAGAAGCAGAGGGTATGGGAAGCATGCCAGGGAGTTAGGAAGACTTTATGAAGGAGGAAGAATTTGAGCAGGGATTTGGAACAGGGTCATTTCCACATGGAGACAGAAAATAGCTTGAGACAGTCTTTGCCATATTATACGTATATAAACGGAGAGCAAAAGCAAAGAGACACAGGTTAGTGCAATTCAACTAGCACTGTGCTGGGATGAAAATATCATTCTTTGGAATTCAGCCTAAAGCCTAGATCTTGTGTGAGATTGTTAAGTAAAAGATGCCATAGCAGGAAAATCAATGATTTTGCTGCTTCTCTCAATCTTTGGTTTTTCCCACTGGGGCGACTTCCCTGGACCCTGAAGAGGAAAGATTAGCTTTTATATAAATATTTCCCCTTAACATATGGAACACAACACTTCAGTAGGTACATGCATCAGGAGGGGAGAGAGAGAAATGATTCCAAATCCCCTTAAAAAAGGATTTCCACACTAACTCATTTACTCATTAGATGCTCCTTCTTTAAAACTCTGATACTCAGATGTGATAAATGTTTTCATTCCTCTAACTTAAGTTCATTTAAATTCTTTTTCAAATAAATTTTTGTTTGTTTTTCAGCTTCAAACAAGCAAGACACTGAAAGGAGACATGGGAGAGGATAGACAAGAGGGGGTATCCAAATAAGAGAAAGGGAGTGAGGAAATGAAACCGACATTTATTGGGTGACAACATAAGCCAAACACTTTGCTGGGTTCTTTACGTACATGATACTACTTAATCCTTGCCATGACCTTGCGTTAGGGTTGTTGTTGGGCCCACTTCATCAGTGAGCAAATAGACAGTCAGAGATTCTAACCAGAGATGGAAGTCCTGCAGGTGAACACCGCAGAGCCCGAGCAAAAGTCCGGGTCTCTAACTGTTCTCTACTATGTGGCCAAAAACCGCGGATGGCGGTAGCTGCACTGCAAGTACCATCCTCTGTTTTTCACAAATGGTTTGAACTATCCCAAGAAAAGCAATTTAGATAAAAGGCAGGAGAGGGATGAGAACTGAGTAAAAGTTATAGATCCATTCCTTTCCAACTAGATTACTCCCTTCATTCCCTTCGAACTTAACATAGATGAGCTGCTTTATGGTGGAGTCTTTTTACATGAAGATGACCTGTCTGTGCCTTAGTCAGCACTATACAATTGTGCTGGGTACTCCCTGAGCTGTTACACCGGTTGATATATAGTCCATAAGTGCTTAATATGCATAATTTGATCTTTTGAAATAAATCAGGGTGACTGTTTTTTCCTTTGGAATCTATATCTAGACTTTGCTGTTACTACTAAATGGTGTTCTCAGCTCTGCACGTTTGTTCTTTAAAGAGCTACATATTAAGCACTTACTACAGACTAGAAACTGCAAGGAGCTATATGAGTCAGGACTGTACTGTGGTAACAAATCAACTCTGAAATCTCAGTGCATTAACACAGCAAAATTTTATTTTTTGTGCATGCAAAGTCTACTGTGGGCCTTGCTGTTTGTTCTTTAGGGCAGCTCCCTCTCAAGTGATATGTCAGGGGCCCATTTTGTTCTAACCTATGAGGAAATGAAACCAGCATTTATTGGGTGACAACATATACCAAACACTTTGCTCAGTTCTTTTTTTTTTTTTTTTTTTTTTGGCCGCTGGCCTGTACGAGGATACAAACCCTCGACATTGGTACTATAACACTGTGCTCTAACCAACCGAGCTCACCAGCTAGGTGCTTTATGTACATGGTGCTACTTAATTTTTTGCCTTCTTAACATGTGGCTTCCAGATTGTTCTCATAAGGGGAAAAGAGAGCTGGAGGTGCCTCAGGGGCTTTTCTCTCTTACCCTAGAAGTGACAT